CTTGGCTCGGAGCTTCGCGTGCAACGCATTGGCGTGGAGCTGTGGCTTACAAATTGATCAAACGAATGCGACCGATGATGCCGATGTCCTTTGGAAAAACGTAATGTACCTGATGTCGGGATTTCGAGGGTGCCGGTGTGTGTACCCCTATCGAGCAATCGTCGCTCGGATAGCTAAAGCCAGCACGGGACCGAGTGTAGCTCGCGTTCAACCGACAATTTGTCGGCTTCGATGGGGGAGGGAGTTTGCCTATCGTTTTCGTGGCCTCGGTTTGTAAGAATAATTGTGGCCCCTATGATGTTATTAACTAATGATTTTCACGTTTTCACGAAAAATGTTAAAATATAATTAAAAGCTGTCCACGTAAGCGGCGACCGTGCCATATAGGACGGCCGGTGTCCACGTCAGCAATTTCCGGTCAAAATTGATATGATGGACTCAATTGATAAAGATTTAGGCATCAATTGACACAATTAAAAATGTTAAGAAAAAAGCGTTTACATGAATTTGGCCCCATTTGACCTAACAAGGCCAAGCTTGGCGATAGCACAGAGACTTTAAAGATCAGTTGGGCTGGCCGATGTTTTGGTAGCCGTTTATCAAAGAAGGAAAGCCCTTTTTTGGCTACTCTGCTCAAACGGAAGACGCCCTTTCCTCGTTTTACAACTCCGGGAGAGGGCGCCGCTAGTGTCGCCGCTCTGTCGGGTATTATCATAAGAGTGTCGCACTTGCTTAGAGAACGTTCTGGATTCGAATACTGTCGAGATGTGGTCAGTACAATGCCATTCGCGACGACCGATCCGAGGTAAGAGAGACCTTCATCGGAGCAGCTCCAAAGTACCGGAGGTCCAGATTCTATTCGCCGGCGCGAAATGCATTTTGCACCTTGCTGGTGACTTTAATCTCCAGCTCTTCTTCTTGGGTTGACCGTTGAGTATGTTCTTGGTCTTCTGATTCTGGTCAAAACAGTTTTTGGGCCCTCAAATTCGCTTTCATATAACAATAACAATGTTTAAGCAAGTGTGTTAAAACTCTGTCCAAATGACAAAGGCAATTGTCCGTGATTGTCGACTCGGGCTGAGAAAGACCGAGCGAGATGCAAAAGAGGTAAAATTTGCCAAGTATCGAAGGCTCTCGATCGGCAAGTATAGTTAGTCGACAGAACGAGTGGCGTTAATCAACAGAAGATATAACACGGGCGTCAGTAAATGAAGCATGGTTTAGTCGGCAAAGGCCACGACCACCGATGTCCGTGATAAGTATTTGTCTATTGGAACTTGGAAACTTCGAAGGCAAATCCGTGACGCGGGGTGCAAAGAGTTGGGGAGAGAGGAACCGTCAAGTAATATGTGCTGATCAACTGTGAATACAAAATTCTGAATTCTAGGGTCATGCAGGATGCGGGTGTTGTCTTTGTTGTTAACTATCATAGTTGATATAAATATCAGGATTGTAATTCGTGTAAGGGACCGCCAATTAGGGGTGCACAAAAAAACTGGAAACTGTTCGAATCGCCCGGGATCGCCCGAAACCGGATCGAAACCAGTGGTTTCTAAGGGAACCAATCCGGTTCCCGATTCCAATTTTTGGGAACCGGTGGATACCGATCTGGTTCCCAATTCCAGGTGTGAAACCGCTTATCCGGACCTGACCGGTAATATAATAATAATATGATATATTTATTTAATTTTTAATTTAAAAAAGAGAAAAAGCCTAAATCCCTAAACTAAACCTAACTCACTTGACGCTCATAGCCTCACACTGAGCCGAGAAACACCTTCTTTCACTTTCGCCTCACGCTCACTCTCACTTTCTTACTCTTCTCGGTCAATACTCATCTCATTGTCTCTCTGTCTCTGTCCTTAAATAGTGGGACCGGTTCCATAGACCCACTCGAGAACCGAACCAGACTGGCGGTCCGGTTCCCAGGTGGATTCATGGAACTAATGGACAGTTCCCGATTTCAATTTTTTGGAACCGGTCCTTAGTGGGCAGTTCCCGGTTTTAGGGTAAAAACTGTCAACTCGGACCATGCTCACCTCTACCGCCAATCATATGAACACAGGCTGTTCAATTTTACTCTTGTTTATCTTTACATTTCAGTACCATTTTACATGGCTATCAATTCACGTATTTTGTCCAAAAATCAGCAAGTGGCCTTTTACGTCCTTAGTCAATTTCCACATCGATTCATATCTTGAAAGGTTTGTTATTGACACTTTTTGGTGAAACAATAATAAAGAAAAAAACTAATTAAACATTTAAAGAGTCTTTTATAATTTCTATTGTATTTCAGTTCCTTTGTGATACCAAACAAAAAATTGTTAATTGGAAGTCTGTTTTCATAGTATTTCCACGCTTTGAAGCTTTTCTTTTAATTGTGACAATGGCATCAAAACAATGTTTAAGCAAGCTAACAAGGAAAAAAATGAATTATGTAAGAGAACTTATAATTCCTATAGAATTTTAATTTATTTGTGTAGTTAAATGTAATAATATTCATTACAAGCTAATTATAGTAAAAGTGCAATTAGAAAATTTAGAAAAATACAGCCTAATACTGAAATAGAGTTTGCCATTACTTAAAATTATAATGTAACCCAACTTAGATCAAACTTGAACAACCATTAATTAATTATAAAACTGAAATAGAAATTGAGTTGGACATTTAGATACTTACGTCATCCTAAATAGAAGACCTCAAAAATTAGAAAATCTAAATACTTTAAATTGCAATTATGAAAAAAAGTTAAGACAATAAAAACTTGCATGATTTTGGAAAAAGAAAACTTAAAATGCATGTGGAACACGGTAATATGAAATTTATGAGGACAATGCCAATGTCAATGGATTGTTTGTAAATATTAAAAAATATATATTGTATTTAATTGAAATTGGCTTAATTCTCTAAAAAAACCCTCAATTTTTGGTTTAGTCCCAAATTTATCCCAAAATTTTTTTGTCTAAAAAAGACCCTCAAGTTTAATTCTTGTCCCAAATCCGCCTCCACTAACCCTCCGTCCAAAAATCGCCGTTAAGTCTTCTAACACGACAATTTTGCGTCAGCATTAAATCTACGTCAGAAGTTGACGTGGAAAAACTCCACAAAAACGTCGACCTTCCTTGCTCTGAAGATTGGGGGAAGTTAGAAGCAATTAGGGCTTGCTTCTTCAATTAAGAGAGAGAGAGAGAGAGGGAACGCAATGCTCAGTTGCTCTCTCCATATCGGGTTCGCTCTCTACGCCACGAGGCCAGAGCCAGCTAGCTCCGTCCCCTTCTCCGTGGGGTTAGCCTCTCTATTCATTCATTTTGCTCAAAGGAATTGATCGCGGAGAGGAGGGATTCCTTCGTAAATCGACCGAGCAGTGGATTTCAAAGTGCTCGGTCGGTCTCTTCCTCTACAGGTTCGCGCCTGGTCGATCGGAGGAGAGAGCGGCGGAAGTTGCGAACAACCCTCACAATAACCCGGTATTTGTTCTTTTTTCCCCTAAATTTAACTTTTATTGTTTCTGATGAAGTACAAGTGCATTTATCTTGTGTTTTTCAAGTTTTTGCCATTCTTGTTACGCGTATGATTCTAGTTAGAGGACACATGTTTGGGGTTCGCTGTTGTTATTTCGGTGTATTGTCTTTTAGTTAGCACATTTTACTCTTATATATCCGTAAATAGGATTTGTTGTTTCCTCGTGGTGGTACCGTCACTTCAAATGGTGAAAAATAACAAAAGATGCGCTCAAAGTCCCGCAGCAGGTTCTTGAACAGAATTCAATCGGCACAAGAATATTGGTTGATTTCTGTGGTAGTCAATTGTTCCTAGAATGTGAACAGTGTTGTTTACTATTCGCTTCAATCAGCGCGATGTGCCCGGCATTGAACTTGCAGGTCGACCGTCATTTTGCTCGCAAGATTTGCTCGTCGAAAATCGAAGCATTACTAGGTTGAGTCAGAAGCAACAGTAAGTTCATTCACCATTTGCTAATGCTCAATTGAAATTTCACGAGCTTCGATGGTGAGTTCAATGGCGAGTTCGTTCACCATCTACTAAAAGCATTTTAGAATAAGGAAGTAGAAAATTCGTGAGCTTCCTACTCCCATCCTTCAGTAAACCACAGGCATACTCTTATGCAAACCCTCCACAAAGTAACTTCATCATCACCATCACTGCGGCCTCCATGAAAATAGGCATGATATCGAAGAAAATATTCAACTGCAATAACATACAAAGTGCAAATATCAAATCTCAGCATGTGCACCTGTTCATCCAATTACTGGAGCAATCTCCAGCTCGTTGGCTTGGTCAGTTTACACCTCGACGAAGAACAATTTCTTCAAATTGCCGGCGAGATAAAGGAAAAGATCGCGCGCTTTGGAGTCTATTATCAGCTGATTCACGGAGGAATTCCTCCCGTCAACGATCAATTCCTTCGAGTGAAACGAGTCGAGAGGCTAACGCACGGAGAGGGGTTGAAGCGCGAAGGATGGGAGAAGCTCGCTGTCGGATCCGGCTTCGTGCCGTCGAGAGCGAATCTGATATGGAGGGAGCGATAGAGCATTCTCTCTTTCTATTTGAGCGCGAATTGAAGAAGCGAAGAAGCAAGCCCTAATTGCTTCTAACTTCCCCCAATCTTCAGAGCAAAGGAACGTCAGCTGAATTTGAACGAAGGGTTAACCGGGGCAGATTCGAAGCTAGAATGAGAGCTGATATCTTCTTTCTAGACGAAAAAAAAGGTTTGGGGGGTTGGATTTGGGACAAAACCAAAAAGTCGGGGTTTTTTTTTTTTTTAAGGCGACTAGGCCGATTAAAATTAGGGAAGTAACATTAAATAATTTACACATGTGTGTTTAATGGCATTAATTATCAAATTAAAATTTTCCCATGCAAATGGGCCACTTTTCTAGTCATCCCAAAATTTTTCATTTTCATTATCGTTACCCATCCTTTATTTTCTTTTTATTTTTCCTAATTGAACGCGTACATTATCGACCAGTATCGTTTAGCGGGAGAAAGCTCCCCCTTCAACGGCCACAAAATGGCCTCCCTCGCCTTCCCTCCTTCCCTGCACCACCGCCACCTCCACCTCCACCGCCGCGTCCGCCGCCGCCTCGCTTCGCTCCCTCCGTGCAGGCCGCCCTCCGTGACCCTCGATTCCTCCAAGCACCGCCACCCCACTCCCGCTTTCGCCGCCGCCCTCCGGAGCGACACCCACCCCTTCTTGCTCGCCAAGCTCCCCGCCGTGGCGGGCGGCGACCCTCCGGCGAAGGCCGCGGGCGGTTTCGGCTTCGGAACCAGGGAGAGGGCCGGCGGCTCGCCGGCCCGGCCTCCGAGGCCCGGCGACGAGAACGCGCGGAAGGAGTCGCTGAAGGACCTCGTGAGCTCGATCATAAGGGAGCGGTCCGGAAGGAGGGCCGGCGATGGCGGCGGCGGCGAGAGCGCGAGGGGGCCGCCCAAAGGTGAGGCTGCGAGGAGGGATCCGAGTTCGAGGCGGAGGGGCGGTGTTGGAGTCGGGAATCGCGATTTGCGTCCTGAAAAAGAGTGTGCGGCGGTGAACTTTGCGGATGGTGATGGTGGGAGTTCGGGAGGTAAAGTAGGGAAGCAGAAAATTAGCGGGAATGTCGGCGGTAGTGAGACGGAGGCGGCTAGGGAGAGTAGAAAGTCTAGGAAAAGTAAGGTCGAGTCGCCTGAAGTTTGGTTGAAAGTCGCGCTGGATATGTGTTCAAAAAGTGGGGATTTTTTGGGGGCGGTCCAATTGTATGATTCGGCTCGTAAGGAAGGGATTCAATTGGGGCAGTATCATTATGCCGTGCTGTTGTATCTCTGTGCTTCTGCGGCTGTTGGTGTTGTTCAGCCTGCTAAAAGCGGAAGTGGTATGAAGACCTTGAATAGCTCGGACTTGTCGAATGAAGATGTCGCTGCGAATTGCGTCAAGTTTGGTGAGGAGGATGAAGTCGTGCCAAATGACCTTCGGTCAATTGGTGCCCGTAGCATCGAGGGAAATGATGGCATAATGGATTTAAGTTCAAGTCGCACGTATGGCAATGTTGGGTATACCGACGAAATTAAGAGCATCAGGCAGAGCTTTAATGGGTCTCCAAAACCCAAAGCTCATGTTTCAGATAGGCTGAATGATGTAGGAAGAACTGAAGGTGATTCCTCTGGTATTGAAAATGAGGCTATAGACCAAGGAGATCAAGTTGTTATAGTAGACGGAAATGTCAAGAAGTATGCGGTTGAAAAGGGATTTGAAATCTACAGGGAGATGTGCTCGGATAAAGTCCCAATGAATGAAGCCACTTTGACATCTGTGGCCAGAATGGCAATGTCAATAGGTGATGGAGACTTGGCGTTTGACCTGGTGAAGCAAATGAAGCCTTTGGGGATAAATCCTCGGTTGCGGTCCTATGGTCCTGCTTTATCAACTTTCTGCGATAGTGGAGACATTGAGAAAGCATTTGAAGTTGAAAAACATATGCTGAAGAATGGTGTCTATCTGGAGGAGCCTGAACTGCAAGCACTACTAAGAGTAAGCATAGCAGTTGGAAAAGGGGACAAGGTGTATTATTTGTTGCACAAACTCAGAACAAGTGTAAGGAAGGTCTCTCCATCTACTGCAGATCTAATCGAGGACTGGTTCAAAGGCAGGATAGCTTCAAGACTAGGGAAAAGGAAATGGGATCAAAGAGATATAAGAGAAGCAATAAAAAATCGTGGTGGAGGCTGGCATGGGAAAGGTTGGTTGGGCAGAGGCAAGTGGAGTGTATCACGTGCATCTGTTGGTTCTGATGGCTCATGCAAATGCTGTGGTGAAAAATTGACCACAATTGATCTTGATTCTCGGGAAGCAGAAAAATTCGCCGAGTCAGTTGCAGCCTTGGCTCTAAAGAGAGAAAAAAACTCGAGCTTTCAGAAATTTCAAGTACGAAATTCTACAGTCAACCCTTCCTAATTGTAATTTTCAATGTGTCTCCAAGAACCAGATAGACTAATTTAGCATTTGCAGAAATGGCTTGATTATAATGGACCATTTGAAGCAGTAATTGACGGAGCTAATGTTGGCCTTTTTAGTCAGCAAAGATTCTTACCAGCAAAGGCAAGTTTTTTGAAATTTGAAGACAGATCACCTGTAAAGGTCCATAGATCTTTAGAGTTGTAGTTTTCTGATTGTTCTTGTGCACTTGTTGAAATCGATTTGTAGGTTAAGGCAATTGTTAATGGGATACGTCAGAAGCTTCCTTCAAGAAGATGGCCTCTCATTGTTTTACACAATAGACATATTACAGGAAACAAGATGGAAGTACCAGTGAACAGGGCAATCATTGACAAGTGGAGAAATAAGGATGCACTCTATTTAACGCCTACTGGATCCAATGATGACTGGTGAGCTATTGAATTTGCAGATCACAATCAGAAAGTTTACATCTTTATTGTCATTCCGGGGAATATTGAAACCTCCATAGTGCATGCGGTTTAAATTAAACCGACATGAGAAATAACGTGCGTTTCAGGTATTGGTTGTATGCAGCTATCAAATTTAAGTGCTTAATCGTGACCAATGATGAAATGAGGGACCATACATTTCAACTTCTAGGAAATGACTTCTTTCCCAAATGGAAAGAAAGGCATCAGGTGAGTCTAGTTGGATTTCCCATTAATCTTGATTATTGGTCTTTTTCGCTTATCAAGGTCACTAGCCTTTTAACTATTTTATCATTTCCTAAATCATCCGATAATTTATGAGTCTGATTAGAGACACTGTTGCAAAATATAACAGCATTTGTGTTTCTGTTTTCAAGGTACATTTCAGCTTTTCTGATGCTGGTCCGGAGTTTCACATGCCTCCTCCATGCTCCGTAGTAATCCAGGTGAATAGCACAAATTTATTTTCTATGCTGTATACATCTCCTCTTATAGATGGATATGGGTGATACGATTGAGTTTTTGTTTGTTGTGGCGTGTGCATGCACGGCTTGCATATTCGGCTGCATCGCATTTGCGTCTTGCAATCTTTAAAGTGTTAAGGACATTATATAATCCTTTGGTAAAACAATGTCCACAGGAGTCCGAGAATGGCCACTGGCATATACCCATTATGCTGGAACATGAGTACGAAGCAGATAGAACGTGGTTATGTGTGACGCGTGCTGCCTCTGGATCAGCAACCAGACCTGAAGGTAGTAGATTGTATGCTGAGTAAAGTTTACAATCTGATAAGCTGAAGCATCTATTTATCATGATAAATGATTGCATGCCCTGCCTTTGGGCTGACTAAAAACGTTATTCATCAAACATTCTGGATGGCAGTGTTAAATACATGATGAGATTACTTAAGCTTACACACAGCCACACCAGAAAAAAAGGTTATAGAAGCTTTTGGAATTGGATTATTTTGTTCTCTTTTGCTCTTTGTAATCTAAGCTCTATGTTTCATCTTGTTCATTCCACTTTTGTTTATGGTATGCTTTTCTCTTGGCAAAAACAACTCCATATAATTTTATAACTCTGTTGATTCTTGAAGCGAATAACTAGTCTAACTAGTTCTGACAATTAAGGACAAGAGCAAAGTCCATGTAAAATTTTTTAGGAGAAGTGCAAATTCCTTTAAAAAAATTATTTGATTTCCACATTTATGCTAGTGTTTTTGGATGAAACGTTATTTTTGTTCTAGTCCAGATCATTTCAGGTACTGGTGACTGGTGCTTGGTCTTATTTTTAATACATTCCATTTGCTCAACACTCAATCCTCCTAACCTACTGATTTTCACTACACAGTTTTGTTGCTGATAAGAAGGTATTTTGTCCAATTCCCAGTCACTAGGTTCACCACCTAACTGGTTCCCATCTCCATAACTTCAAGGGCTGGGGTATTTTTTTGGGGGGAGGGGTTGGAGAGTGTGGGTGTAAGAATAAGAAGATAAAAGCCTAGAAGGCCATTCTTAAATTTGGTTGATATCAACATTTTGTAGTCATGGGGCGTTCCATTCCTTATGGAGTTCTTGGATATTCTTGAGATTCAGGATAATTATGGAAAGAGAGACTAGGTTTCCCAATTGGCAGTTCAATATATACTGTGTTTACTCTAAGCTTATTTTGGATATACTGTCTTCTGTCCTAGAAAAATTTCTAAGGTTGAATTTAGTGGTAAGGAATTGGTGTTTACTCTTCAGTACATTTTCGAGGACTTGTTGAGTGCTTCATTGGCAATCAGTAGCAACATCAAACTAAGCTTCTTGTCCCACCAAGATGGGAGAAGGGAGAATTTGCAGGCAAAGTGTGGTGGCAGGTGTTAATCAGCAATCATGTGAATATTTTCATCATCTGTAGATGGGTTAATTAGTTTTCTTGTAGTTTCTATTTTGTACAAGCGCCTTTAATTTATTTCATAAAGCTGGTTTTGCTGAACACATGTATACATGAAGAGCCTCTCTTCATCATCTACTTTCAGTGACAAAACGTTCTGATATATCCTGTTCCGCTGCCAAGTGATATTCATGTGTGAGTTTTTCAAAATTATCACCTGCTTTTTTCTAATTAATCACATAAAGTTTGTCGAACTAGTTTTCTGGTTTGATTTTCACATCTTTGCGTTTGTCTAGATCTGCAATTACATCAACAGAGCGAGCAACATGTGATGGAAGACAGAGACCCACAAGATGGAGTTGATTCCTTTTCAGAAACGCTTCAACCTAACCATGATGACATTAGAAAATCACCTCCTGATACACACCAAAATCTCATAAGCATATTTGCGGCGTCTGTATCATCATATGATGGCACCCTCCTGTCCCAACTTGACACTGCAGAGAGGTGTGGTGATTGTATTATTGATTTCCAAATATAGATTCGTTGATAATCAGTTCACATCTTTTTGTTATCTTCTCACCTAGATCAAAGAACTTGGAATGCCTATGTATAGACATGAGGCCCGGTTGATTTTCTAAGGTGTAGAGAGCCCTTCGTTGGCGGAAAAGCTTAGTTCACAATGAATATAAATGTATTTTACCAAGCATTATAACATTGGAATAGGTGCATTCTCTTGCCTAATATGATTCAGGAAAAATTATTCCTGCTTCCTTTTCCTTTGGAGCTCTTAAAGTAGTTGGTGTTGAGTCTGAAGATGGTGCATCTGCTCTATGATTGCTTTATGGGTCACGCCAGATGTAGCTTTTTTCACTACTGATAAAAATTGTCTCCGGTGGAAATACTCTAAAAGTTATCAATTCGTGTGGCTAACAGGTAGAATCCGTGGATGCACCTAGCAAACTCGTTGCTATGTTAGCATATTAGGATTTAGGGCTATCATTTTGTATAATGGTATTCGTATTTGCTTGTCTTGTTTGTGTCGTTCGTGGCATTGGCTCTTTGTGAAGAGGAGAGATGGATCTGAAAATGGTTGCACAGACATACATTTTCATAGGATAATTAATTGGGGGAGAAGCAATTGACCATGCTGGGGACAATGTCTTCTTTACCACAATATGCCACCAAGAAACGGAGAGAATTATCTCTTATGGAGCTGCTATTGCTCTTTCAAATGAAATTATAGTTTCGTCCAACCTTGATATAGAGAACATGCCAGCTCTTAAATTTTGTGGGCTCCTAAAAAAATTATTTTTCAGGATTTGATGTTCACGCAATAAGTGTCCTTTGTTTGGTTTTATATATCTACCCTGATGAATTATTGGTTTGGAGAAATTTTAATTCTCTTGATAAAAGGAAAAATGATACAAGTGATTCATGAACTTTTTATTCGTTTAATTTAGTTACTGAGCTTTGGTCCAATGTTTAATGTGGTCCATGAACTTTTAAACATTTTCATATAGTCTATGGACTAAATTGAATATTTTTCAGAAACCACATTGAATAAATTAAAATATTAGGGACGATATTATACATTGAGCTAAAATTCAGAGACTTCATCCCATTGAATATTTAGAGATGATATTACACATTAGATCAAAGTTCACGCATCGTTCGTGCTATTCTCCCCTTGATAAGATATTTCTTGTTAGTACCTGCCGTGGGCTCAGTGCATTGCAGACCTCGAATGGTCGGTTTCATGCTGGAACTGTTGGAAATATGGGATAAATTGATGGGTGAATGAATGAGAAATTGATGCTCAAAGAACACCCTTGAGTTGGAAATGGGAAGTGGAAAAACACTAGTCCCACATTGGAAAAGAAAGAAGGTTATGGAGCGTTTTATACACAGTTACACTCATTTGAAGTGGTAACTATCATAGCACAAACACTATGCCAGGCGCAGGGGGTGCAAATCCGATGCCCGACAAGCTGCAACTTGGGATCGAGCGCACATCCCGTGTACACGATTGCAGGGCCTCGCGACGAGCCCAATTTTGCCTTCTGATTTATTCCCGAAACGCTTCCCCCTGACCTTGTAAATAGCTTCCCATTCTATTTTAAAAATAATCGAATTATTCCTCTCTATGCTTTTCAATTTTGCACTGTTTTTCGATAGTGTTCGGTTCCGGTTTGTTCAAGTTCGCCGAAAGCTTTGAAGTGCCACTGGTCTCGATATCCATTTGTATCGATTCCAATTCTGTTATTGTAATTTCATTTCTTTACAATTCTTTATTGTTCGTAATATTTATACTGATGCCAATTTGAACGTCGCAACAGGAACAGCATTTGTCAGTGGGCACGAATCAAAGGACATGGCATTCCTGGATATGACAATTCTTTGGCATTTCGTTTATTTATTCAAATCAAATCTTCATGTGTCGTGATGCATCGTGTGGCCCCTGAAAGTGATAGCCCTTCCTAGTGTCAGGAACTGAACGTGCCTATTTCATCTATGATGGAGGAGAAAAGGGGAAGGAACACAAGATCACGGGGCTGCAACTCATTTCTTTGTCCTTTTTTGCTCCACTTACGGTTGTTCTCTTGCCCTTTTATTGACAGAATCAAATCTTAAATGGGGTTCTCAGGTTTTGGTGCATCGAACAGTTCATTAAACAGAATCACGAGTCACGAGCACCCATTCGCTTCTCTCTCTCTCTCTAGAAGAGACCCACCGTAGATAGAAAAAAGAATGTTCATTTCTTTCTTCAGGTAGATTCTGAACCTGAAGAAGGGAATGGAAGGCTCCAAATGCACCCGCATAAACCCAGAAGCCGATGAGTCCGAGGATGTTGTTCGTTTCGACAAGTCCCTTCAAGTAAGAATTCCGGGGTACCTTGACATATGTTGCTAAAATTTTCTTTGTTTGGACTCTGCGTTTGTTATCTTACACTTGCTGCTGAGTTGTGGTTGTGTGTTTGCTAATCTATTGTAGGAGCTTAAAGATTTGCGGTCTCAGCTTCATTTTGCTGCAGATTACTGCGAGTCCACGTTCTCTAACGCGGAAGAGAAGAGGATGTGAGCATTTCGTACCATTGAACCCTTAATCCTTTTCACCCATGAGAGAATTTACTGCTTAACTTTTCTCCAATGCAAGCAAGTTGCTTGAAATCTAGTTGGACTTGCCAGAGTTAATTGAAAAGCCACATATATAAATTTAGTAACCCAAACTTGCTTCCTTCACTATGAACTCTCTTCACCAAAAGTTGCTTTTCTTTATATTCCTTTTTACTGACATTATGTGAATTTTTTTTTGTGGCTCGCAGCATTGTTGACAACACTAAAGAATACATATGCAGGGCCATGGTCACCGTGGTCGATCATCTTGGGAATGTCTCTGCTAATCTCAATTGCAGCATTTCCAATGCCTGTGAATTCACTAATACGGAGCTTCGGATTAACTGCCTGAAGCAAGTCAGTCCGTACATACACGTCTCCGATAGTAACCTCTGAATTATGTAGGAAACGAGGAATCTTAAGCCATGAATGATGATTCAACATGTTTTTGTTCGACAGAGACTTGTGTCGTGTGAAGAGTATGTTAACAAGCTTGCTTTGACCGGAGTACAATGGAATGCGGTTCTGCCGAGGCTTAGTCCCAGATACTTATTAACTTGTATAATTCTGTCCTTTCATTCTGATAAGTAACACGTAATATTCTCTTCATTAATTTCAAAAGCTAGTAAATGCTGATGTATTCCTGCTTATGTTTCTCACTAGAGATTAAAACCTTTTTTTTTTTAATCAGCTATCACTAATGTTGAGAGGTCAAAGGAGGTTAGAAGGTAATATTCTAGGACAAGTAGAAGATACCAAGCTAGAGATTCATGAAGTCATCAAGAACTTCAAGGAAACATTTTGTTTTGGTTCCTTATGGTCTTATGGTACAGGGATTCTGAGAACCAAACACCGGAAGCCGGAGAGAATCAAGACTTCGAAACAGAGAAGGGCTTGCCGCTTTTCTTGGGTACCCATACAAACAAGCCATCACTTGCCAAGAACTTAACAGCACAAGCTGATGGGAGGAAGACAGATGCTAATTCACCAATAGGTACTCTTGGAAGCTTCAAATGCAGTAATTGCTCAACTAATCATAAGGAACTATTTGGTTCTGTTTACCCAACTTGGTGACATTACGGATGCTTCTCTAATATGAATAATTGTCTTCTTCTTTTAGTGTCTAAATTAGTTCCTGTCCGCGACGGCCTGTCCATACTGTCCAGAAGGTCGAACCCCACTTTCCATTTCCAGGTGAATAAACTTCGCGCACGATTCTTTTGGGCCCTATTTTGGTAAAAATCATGTGCACATTGTTCGTACAAACACACTCCGGTAATGTGTGATTGCATGATAATTCATTATATTCTTATACTGCAGGGTGCTCCAAAACTCGGACGCAACACCCTGAACAGAAAGTCGACTTATAGTAGTGACATTGTATCTCTCATTCGACGCGTTAGACGGACACCATGAGGGCTATCCATGGTGTGACTCCATTTACAGGGTGAATTGCAACCACTTTCTGGAGCCTCAGGCTGGTCACTGGGGGGGGGGGGGGGGTGTGGTGGGGTGGTCGGGGATGGGGGATCGCATACATTCAGAATGGGCCTCGAAAGATTTATATCCAGCTCTTCCAGTTTGCAGTTCAATGAATGAGTCTTCCATTCATTAGCCAAAAATGATCGGTTGCTGTATCTTGAGATGATATAGGATTCTGCATAATAAAAATGCTCAGTATTGCTGTTTCTGAACTTACATCATAAGCTCCTGTCCCAACTCCCAGTGACAGAAACCAGAGAACCCTCGATATCATCAGATACACAACATAAACATCATTTCCACCAACATAATTATGCATGCATGAAAGTTCATGCTTATTGACCATCACTAACTGTCATGTCAAGGTAGCTCTTCCTCTTTCTATCCGCTGCAATGACCTCCAGGACCACCATAAGTTATTGTATACCCCGTTTTTTCCTGGTAGTGATCATTTTTCAAGTCATAGACATTGGATCTATCCACCCACTCGGCCTCTTTCATTGGGGTATAGAATTTGCCACCTGAGCTAGTCCAATGGAGTCCTCGGAAGCATGCTGCATGCGTATAGTCGCCGTCGGGCTTGTGTCCACTTCCCATCGGCGGACAAACTCCGTTGCTTCCAGCTAGCCCGATTCCTCCCCAAGCTACATGCAGTGAGCCGTTGCGTAAATTCAAGAATAATTCCTTTGGCCAGTAACCCACCGCAATCGGCGGATAGAACACATTCAACCACCAATTCCCAGTATACATGTCCTAGTGAGAAGCAAATACTGTTGGTATTAATATCATACATAAATATACAAATCAATGTATATGTATATGCTCTAAATTACCTTAATATTGGGGAAATTGCTATTGAAAAATCGAAGTTACCTGTTGGATATACATTATAAGTTCAGACTGCTGTCCACCATAAACAGAAGCGGGCTGTAATGGAAAATTGCTGGTTATTGTCCTATGTACCTGGACAAAGCCTGGACACAACACGTTATAGCATCCATTACGAAAGCCATCGCCCTGTGAGAATAAGAGTGATGCTTTAGTCAAATAAACAACTCAACTTAGCTTTAATTTCCAAAATTTTATTTCAAGAAATAAATTCAAGGAAAGAATAGTTCGACGGAGAATTGGAAACCATATTTAAACTGACCGTCCAGTATGTGAACAACCGGGGAAGTGCATCACCGCTGAGCCGTGGACAAACCTAAGCAAAGCAAGAAATGGTAGATTGCTTTCTGCTTCTTTTGTTTATCGTAAAAGTTTTGTTGCATTAACTTCACAATACACCACAAATTTACTCACCGACCAACCCGCTATGATCATGCTAATATGATTTGAAGGACCGGTTTCGATCCATATATTATGGAAACTGCATTGATCACGAGCAACGGTAAGATTGTAGAGAGTCGTGCCTCCACCACCTCCGTATTTGATGTTCTTTACCATGTTGTCTCTGATAGAAACCACCTGCAAATGAAATAATGATTTAAATATCTAAATTTGCGCATGGTTGAGAGAGAGAGAGAGAGAGAGAGAGAGAGAGAGAGAGAGAGAGAGAGAGAGAGAGCTTACATGTTGATTAGAAGGAGGGAAATCTGGTCCTGTAGCCACAACTGATGGCATCTTTGGCAAGGATCTTGCCCTAACCAGAACTTCCTTGGTCACTCTCGGAATCGGTACTGTTCCAACAGGACAAGGTTTTCGGGACCTATACTGTGGTTTTGCACTTGGTGATGTTCTTCCGAAGCGAGCGTAATACAAATTCGGTTTGGCCTGCAAGAGAGAAAATAAGAAATTTCATAAAAGTAGAAAATAAAACGTCGCAATCGACAACCTGTCCAACTGTAGTCTGATGAACGCGGGTGAGTGTGACAATTCTTAACCTGGACTCTATGATTCTTCAGTAGAGGATGATCGAGTGCCGGCTGCTTGTTAATTTTGACACAGTCGATTGTATCTCCTTCCTCGGTCTTTCACAGAATTTCCATGTGATCAGTTGTTTAATAATGCCATTTCGCAAAACCGAAATTGAGGACATGATCAAGAATTACCACAAATGTCTTGACCGGTGGCCTGTGCATCAGATTAACTTGCCTTTCCAACTCTAGATCATCATCTTCTTCTCCACCGTGTGCCATCTCACGTAAGGAAACACTGGAAAGCATGAACAGCAGCAGCAGCACAAGTTTCATTTTTAGTAGCATAGCGAGTAAAAAGAGAAAAAGAGAAAACAAGGAAATTCAAAAGAGAGCCATCTAGTTTTTGGGCTATTCCTTCTTTATAAATTGCAAAATAAATTAAGTGCACATTCTTTGTAGCAAAATTAAAATGATATATGAATTTCACGGGTGTGTTTGTCTCAAAAAAAATTATGTTAAAAGAAAATGCTTTTTGCAAAATTATTTTTCAAAAAAATAATTTTCCTCTTTTAAATTAGGGAATTCATTTTTCTAACTTTAATTATGTATATTTTCTTTAACCGTAAATGATTTTCCGTTGACTGATCATTTTCAGTAAGCCAAACGTGTAAAAGTAAAAGAAAAATAATTTACAATTTTTTTTACTCAAACAAACACGCACCGTAAATTGGAACTGGGCTGTCCATGCATATAAATTTTCCTTATGAATTCACTTCTGAATATGTCCAGATATACATTGGATAAGAAACTTGCGAGTGATCAATTAATTACCTAATTAAGCTATTAATTAATTAATAAGACTATTTTTTTTATTGGAGAATGCATGCTTGCCAGTTGTCCTGGCGAATCCTTCCACGTTTACCTCATTTATTACTACGTTGGGTACGAAACTTGCCAAAATTGAAATGCCATCAAAATCAATTAATGATGATATGACGAACGACGCAGCAGCTGTATCCGTTAAACTATGTCACTTTGTTTAAATGCCTATTTAGGGGAGAAGTGCTAAAAAAGTCTTAAATCTTTTATAATAATGTCAATTTAGATCTAAATTTTTTTTTGGGTGCCAATTCAGTCCTAAACCTTTTACATTTGTGCCAATTTATTTATAAACTTTTTTTTAGTGCCAATTCAATCCTAAACCTTTTGCATTGATGCCAATTCAGTCCTAAACCTTTTGTCTTTATGCTAATTCAGTTCTTCCGACCAATTTTGGCAGGATTTTGCTGACGTGGACGCTGGTCGGCCGGCGACCAGTCACCAGCGCTAACGTGGACAACTTAAATAATATTTTAATATTTTTTTGAATTTTTATTTATTTTTTTCTTTTTTCATTTTCCCCTCTCCTCCCTTCTTCCTCCAGCCAGTCGCTGGACCGGCGACAAGCCAGAGGCCAAAAGTCGGTGCCGGCGAGCCTCGCCTATGCCGGCCACTGGCGAGGGTGGCCTCGCGTTGGGCGAGGCCCGACCTCGCCAGATCTAGCGAGGTCGAGCTTCGCCGGTGGCTGGCACGACCTTGCTAGATCTGGCGAGGTCGACCTTGTCAGTGGCCAGCGAGGGCGAGCCTCAATGGCGCCGGCCTCTGCCCTCTGGTCGGTTGCTGGTCCGGCAACCGGCTAGAGGAAGGAGGGAGGAGAGGGGAAAAAGAAAAAAAGAAAAAAATAAATAAATATTCAAAAAAATATTAAAATATTATTTAAGTTGTCCACGTCAGCGCTGGTGACCGACCGCTGGCCGGCCGGCGTCCACGTTAGCAAAATCCGGCCCAAATTGATCGGAAGAACTGAATTGACACAAAGACAAAATGTTTATGACTGAATTGGCACAAATGCAAAAGGTTTAGGATTGAATTGGCACAAAAAAAGGTTTATGACTAAATTGGTACAAATGCAAAAGGTTTAGGACTGAATTGGCACAAAAAAAGGTTTAGGACTAAATTGGCACAAATGCAAAAGGTTTAGGACTGAATTGACACTTTTCCCCCTATTTAGAGCGCAAGCGTAGTCATCTGCTTCTTAATCAAGTTTGAACATGCATATCGGGTTTGATTTTTCCTTTTCAGAGGACAAATACGATAGAATTAGGACTCGAGTCGAGTTTCCCCGATTTCTAGTCACATTGGTAGCGAATTTCGATCAGAGTGGTTTGCACTTTTTTTAGATAACGGGATTCGATACGTTTGTAATTGCGAGTTGCTGATAACGATTTGCGACAAATCGACGGGAAATAACGTGGCAAAAACAAAGGAGGAAGCAAGTCTATGCGATAATATTGCTTTATCCACACAAAAGAAAAGGTCTATGCAATATTGAATAATTTGATCGCGAAGACAATGGCTCACTCCACACAGCTTGGGAAGGGATTGGCTTAGCTAGAAGCAATGGAGTTTGTCCACCGATGGGAAGTGATCACATGCAATATGGTACTATTGAGTTTGATCGGACGGCAAATTCCTACCTCCTTCAGATAAGACGACGGAGTGGGTGGATGGATTCAATGTTTATGGTCTGATGAATCTTCACAACGCTAGAAGAGATCGCAATGGCTACATTATTAGCTTTGGAGGTTCATGAGGTTATTGTGGGGGATAGAAATTAATATGAAAAAGCTATCTCGAGCCATTCAAATAACAAAGCTATCCATTTTATATTTCGCCCCTTTTGTCTATAATCAGTAATTTTTTTTTGATTTCCGTTTCATTTCTCTCGTGGTTGAGGGGGCAATCTATGTGACCTTAATGGTAATCATAATGCTACGTTCTCTCAACGGTTTCGTGGAATTCCCGAATATGGTAAATGCCTATTAGCTCTTTCAACCAAATCCAACATCTATGGTTTGAAGATCACTATGCTAAACAATTACAAATGAACTACATTATTGATTATAGGGATCTGGCAATTTGTTGCAAGGGATAGAAACCGGATGAAAACCTTACAAAAATCTGCTTACCTTAAACAATTTAATAAGCAAAACTCTATTTTTCGTTTTATCTACTCCCTTTCGTAATTAATATTCACATGTTCTTTTCCTTTCTTGACAATTGAGATTGCAATAACTAGCAGGATAGAATTAGTTAGAATAAACTTTAATACGAAAATACGCATGCTGATAATAATTATAAATGAATTACTAAAACAAACTATATAATTAGTGGCAACAATTGTGATGTTGGGGCTGTTATAAGAGATGTCGTCGTTGCTACCGCTCTTATTAACAAATTTTAAGTCATCGCTATATGTGAATAGTATTGTTGTTGCAAGTGCCTTACATTATTTTTTACCCAAAACTGAATATGACTACGTTTCAATATTATAGTCGGCGAACATTTATTAAGAGATCTTCAAGATACCTATTCCGTAAAAACAGAATGTATGGTTTTTCGATGCACTGAGAATTATGTCAACTAGGTTTGAAAGAGTGTATAGATAAACTAATGAAATCGTAAAAAATTCCATAAGGATGTTTTTCACATTATCTTTCCTTTTTTTATTTTATGATGACAAAACTACCCTACAAAGTGGTGATACATAATTTGAGAAGATATATTTGCAGGTAATTAAAGATCTGCTACGTGATGGTGTCAATTTAGGAGCAATTACGCGGCTCATGTTTTCAAGAAACATTACGAGACGAGGACTCCAAGTTTTCAGAGAATCTGAGTGATAGATTGCGTACTTTTTAGATTAGAGCAGGTTTCGTTTTAATATATAGGAGATGAAGGCAACCTGTCGGAAACAGATTCCTAAACATAATATAAAAATTGCGGAAAAACGTGCCCATTTTATACTTGAATCACTGATCGTTCGAAGTATATCACGTAAACGAACATACCTCTTTGCCACAGATTAAATGCACTTATCGCAGTCTCGAGAGAGAGAACAATCCTTAGATTGTTGAACAAAGTTCCTTCTTCTTTGTCCTTTTGTGAGAATGAGTTTTTTCTGATGATGAAAATGCAACCCACACACACATTTTTACGTGTGTTCTCACTTTTTGTTTCTAGACAATAACTGCCAAGTGCAGTTATTTTCTTTCATGGGCTGGGTTAGCCCATCATGGGCGGTCCATCTTCACAAAGAAAATCCATCATTTCCCACTCGCACATGGTGGGCTAAACATTAACTCTCTCTTCTTTGCAATATTCATACTAGCAAATAATCCGTGTGACTAGCATACTTCGAGAGCTCGTTGCGATGCATCTGTTAGGAATACATAGCAGCTCAAAATTGGGTACAACGTTTTCCGAGTAGATATAGTATGTAGTCCCCTAGATCAATCGGACACATTTATATCCCCTTTGATCTCTTTTAGTATCTCGTATATTGTATTCACAACTATGATTTACTTAAAATCATAATTGGTCGACCTGTGAATACAAACATAGAATGTGACATCATAAATAAATTGATCTTCCTCTTTTCGTAAACCTCTCTATTTCAGTCCAGCACGCTTTTCTAGAAATGCCCCATTAGATCGAATCATTCATGACCATTGGCAACACCCTAAGATAGCGAACACTGAATAAAAACTTTGAGAATAAGTCAGAGTCGTGAGGGTACTAAATGAGGAACTCTGTATCCTCAAGAGTCTCACACGGCATAAAGTTGAGATCAAAAACTTTTGCCACTCTTATCGGTCGTCTCATGCATACGTAGTATGAAATACGTATTACAGTATTAACTCCTTTCTCATGGAGCGTATGTCTTTACATTCAATACCGTACAGATGATAGTTCAGACATACTCAATATCTAAACTTGAGTTCACGTATCTACTCTCCTAAAGAATCCATTAGAACTCACATCTGGCATCAAAGACAGATAAAGTAAAATATGTTGGCTATTTTACTTTCGGACATAGTAAATATTGTGTCCTCATCTTAATATTCAGTTAAGGCAACACTTGTAATTTAAGCTTGAGCTCTCAATTATCACCCAGATAATAAGCTTAAAAAAATTATCTCATCTCTATTTATCGCACAGTAAATAGAGGCGATTACCCGTGTAAGTGGGCTAATCTCATCTGTCAGACATACTTTCTCGATATAATGCACTAAGCATTGAGATGCATAAATATTAAATAAATTCATAGGCATTAATAATGAGAGAGCAACTTCATTAAATGTGAACTCAGGGAAAAATACAATATTCAGTACATCACTTTCTACGCAGTCCCAGAGATTTTACATGACCATAGAAAACATCTCTTGGAATTGGCTTCGTCATAGGATCTGCTATCATTCTATGCGTAGATATGTACTACAAGTTCACATCTTTTCGTGCAACCATATCCTTGACAAAGTTATACTTGGTATCTATATGTTTGG